TGTCACACAGATAGGGTTGACTTGTTACCTACCAGCTATGGTGGCCACCAGTAAAAATCTAAAGACCTCTATGCCTGATTCATCTGACTAAGGTAAGATTTTTACTTTAGGTTTATTTGTTTTCACTTTAATCTATGAATAATTTGCCTAACTTGTGTGTATGTGCACCCCACGCATGCCTGGTGCCTGTGGAGGCCAGAAGAGGGTGTCAGATCCCACAAAACCGGGGTTACAAATGGTTTTGAGCTGCCATGTGATGCTGAGACAGAACCCAACGAGAGCAGCCCCAAGATAGCATTTATAAGGCTGGTGTGATGGTATATGCCTGTAATACTAGTACCCAAGACGCTGAAGCTGGGGGATTTTTTTTTCTTGAGCTTGAGGCACGCTTTCAAGACCTAGCAAGACCCTTGTCTCATAAAACAAAACAAAACAGAAAGAAGGAACCAAGTCCACATAACTGTGCTGAACTCCACACGTGTTCTATGGCACACATGTAATCCCCTACACACATTGAACACCTATACACACACATACAAAACAATAACAATAATGTCAAAATACTTTTTAAGCCAGGCGGTGGTGGAACACGCCTTTAATCCCAGCACTCGGAAGCAGAGACAGGTCTGGTCTTTGGACTTGTTCCGTAGACTTCTCGGATGCTATGGTGAAAATTAATTTAGCTGTCATCTCTACTGTGCTTCTTGCATAATTAGTGTCTGTGTCACACCTGGGACTTGAATTTCAGGTTTGAGGCTATCATGTCAGCAAAGCAAACAGAAATATCCAATCTTCAGTGCCCAAACAAGTATATACGGCCTACCCTAGGAAAATCCTGTTGTCAACTAAAATGTATAGCCAGAAGCATTACAAAAGGGAAGACAGGAACACCAAGTACTACTGAGATAGTATAAAACCAGCAAAAATACAAATTACACTAAGACATACAAATACAGTATATCATTGTGGATATTAAATGGTTAACTGGCCCCATTAGCCAGTGATTCAAGAGAGTCATTAATTCATGCCAAGTTTTAGAAGACAAAATTCTGTAGGAGTCACTAAAGGGAAAATACTACAAAACAAACTTGGTTTTTAAAAAAAAATGTTGCCTAGACTCACTCTGAGGAGAGTTGGGCTGGAGATGGCAGGGCGGTTGAGAGCACTGGCTGCTCTTCCAGAGGACCCGGGTTCAAATCCCAGCAACCACACAGTGGCTCACAGCAGTCTGTGGTTACAGTTCCAGATGGTATGACGCTTTCTTCCACCCTCAGAGGGTACCAGGCACAAGAAATGGTGCATGTGCAGGTAAAACACCCATCCGCATACAAAATAAACATCCTCTAGCCAGCTGTGGTGGTACATGCCCTCTGGAGGCAGAGGCAGGTGGATCTTTGTCAGTTTGAGGCCAGCCTGGTCTACATAAGCAAGTTCCAGGTCACAGAGAGCTACCCAGTGAATCAAACAAAAAACAAAGAAACACTACTCCCCCCCATAAATAATGAACTCTCTGGAAAGTCTATCTCTATCCAAACTTGCACAGATCAAATAATCCCTTTTATATATCATCCTCCAAAATACAGAAACGTGTCATTTCCAAGCCAGTGTGTAAACTTAAAATGGTTGTTTTAAGCCAGACGAAAAGTCATAACAAAATTCATAAAACTAAAAATTCTATGCATGTTGTGTGAACAAACCGAAATGACAGTTCTAAAAACATATTGGGTATGTGTCCAAGTCATCATGGATTATGTCTACATAGGTGTTTTACCTGAAAAAACAAGTTAGACTACTAAGGCGATCAGGAGAATTCCAGTACCAAATTACAAGGTAATAAAATAATCGTTGGGGGGCTGAGGATGTAGTTGCATTGGTAGAGAACTTTGCCAGCGTGCAGCAGGTCCTGGGTTCAGTCCCCAGGACCCCAAACATCTGCTACGGCTGTGCCAAGTATGTAATCCCAGCACTTAGGTAGAGGTAGGAGGATCTAAGTTCAAGGTCATCCTTGTGGTAACCAGAGTTCTAAACCAGCCTGAACTAAAGGGAGGAGAGCAAGAGAAAGACACACACACACTCACTCAGGCACACACTCACACACACTCACACTCACACACACACACACACAGGGCTTCTCTGTGTCACAGCTCCGGCTGTCTTGGAACTCACTTTGTACACCAGGCTGGCCTCGAACTCTGACTCCCAAGTGCTGGGATTAAAGATGTGCACCCACCACTGACACTAGAGACTTTTTTTTTAAGTGATCAATGATGATACTGTGAGAATACTAATAAAATACAGTCTTTATCTGTTAGAGATACTGAATACTTAGGAAGTAAATAATCACTGGGATTTGCTTTAACATAAAACACGGGAACTGGGGGTGGAGACGGAGAGGCCTGGGGATGGAGATGGAGAGGCCATATTTGGAAAACCACTGAGTCAAAAGAATGGGTACATGGAGACCCACCATCTCCCCTCTCCACTTCTTGTTTTGTTCTGTTTTCTGAGACAGAATTTCTCTGTGTAACAGCTCTGGCTGTCTTGGAACTCACTCTGCAGAGCAGGCTGGCCTCAGACTCAAAGAGATTCACCTGCTTCTGCCTCCAGAGCGTTGGCGTTAAAGGCATGCGCCACCAACACCTGGCTCCTTCTCCATTTTCTTTCTTTTTTCTATTTTATTTTATTTGGTTTTTCCAGACAGGGTTTCTCTGTATTGTCTTGGAGGCTGTCCTGGAACTCACTCTGTAGACCAGGTTGACCTCGAACTCACAGAGATCCTCCTGCCTCTGCCTTCCAAGTGTTGGCATTAAAGGCGTGCGCCACCAACACCTGGCTTCCCTCTCCATTTTCAATATGCTGAGAACTGTAGATAAACACTGAAACTTTTAAAACTAAAAGCCAACAGTTACTGAAGAAATTCTCAGAACAGGCCACCACAGAAAAATTTTTTTTAAAAATCACTAAGTGTTCTAACGCTGTTGCTATTCAGTGCAGTGCTAGAATGTTCCTTCCTTTTCTACCTCTAACCACTTCCCTTCCTCCCTACTCAGCGATTTCTTCAGTTGCAAGCAACTTAGATGCCTACTCCTAAACATAACTTCCGGTAACTTAGAAAAGCTTTCAAACTGTTGCATCAGAACATTAAATATTTAAATAAAGGGGCACACTGAAGTATTTCTTCAAATACTTAATGAGCTAAAGAGATCTCTGTGAGTTCGAGACCAGCCTGGTCTACAGAGAGAGTTCCAGGACAGCCTCCAAAACAATACAGCGAAACCCTGTCTTGAAAAACCAAAAAAAAAAAAAAAAAAAAAAGAATTCTTGTTCCAAACAATTTAAGAAATTTAGAACACTCCTCCTTTGTACGTCTTGATACACACAAATGGAAGTAACTGGACTTTTTTTGTTTGTTCGTTTTTTTGACAGTACACGGATGATTAAAAAAGGTTTGAAGATCAAGTTGGTTCCAAAACAGGGCGGCAACACTCACAGAGTTTTTTTAAGAACCAAAAAAGTGAGCAAAACACTCTGCCCAGAAAAAAGTAACCGAGCAGAAGTTGAGCCTGGAGGGTCAGACCTGTAATCTCAGCCACCTGGGAGTATGTCACCGGAGGAACCCAAGTTCAAGGGCTATGGAGCGAATTCGAGGCTAGCCTGGGCTAGTTGGTCAGACTCCGGATCAAAAGATTTTCTAAGTCTCAGGATGCATATTATCAGGCTTCAATACTACACACACTCAAACTCACACACACACACACACACACACACACACACACACAGAGAGAGAGAGAGAGAGAGAGAGAGAGAGAGAGAGAGAGAGAGAGAGAGAGAGAGAGAGAGAGAGAGAGAGAGAGAGAGTGTGTGTGTTTGGAAAGACAATAGTCTAGAAGAACCTCTGCAACACCCAGAAGAGGAGGAAAGGGCAAAAGGGATGAGACATTACATAAACTAGAGAAGTCGGGGCGGGGGGGGGGGGTAAGGTCGGAGAGCCTGTCTGGGGGAGTTTGGCTCATGTGAGCAGGACACTGGTTCCCTATACGCGGGAGATGGAGGCGCAGGATTCATTGCACGGGCCTGCGCAGGGTGTGTGTGTGTTTAGAAGCTATCGACAGGTGAACCCCAGCGAGTGATCCCTGTCGCAGAGAAATCTGGAAGACAGCTAAATGAAAGGCCTGACTTAAGCCTTGGAAACGCCTGTATCTAGGAAGCGTAAACGAGTCGAGTTGGAACAGAAGCAACAGCCTGAGAAGTCAAACCACACTGTTTCACGCAACTTGAGAGAGCGGAGCGGCTTGCAAGAACGGGTTGTCACTGTGCGCACCACCAGGCAGGCTAGACAGGGAGGCTAGGAGGCCACTCCGTCCTGGGAATCTCAGGGAGGGCCACTCTGGCCAGGTGGCGCGGCCCGTCGCTAGACCAGAGGCGGAGGGGACCGTGGGGGAGTCGTGGAGGGCCACAGCGGGGCCCCGGAGGCACACCCGAGTGTGCAGCCCTGCTGGGGTACCGGGGAGACCACAACCCGCCGCGTGGGGGTGGGGACACCAGGGTAGCAAGGAGGAAAAGATCCACCTGCAACTTCTCCAAACTCCGGTTGGCCCAAAAGTACTTTAATTAGGATTTTAGTGGGCGACAGAAAGGGCAGAGAGGCAGCCTAGCGTCAGGCAATATCGATTTGGCCCAGGGAAGTGGTTCTCAACCTGGGGTCGGGAAGACCCTTTCACAGGGGTCGTCTAAAAAAACGATCGGGGGAAAAATATTTACATTATGGTATCACAGCAGTAGCATGAAGGAGCAATGGAAATAATTTTATGGCTGGGGGCCCACCACAACACGAGGAACTGTATTAGGAAGGTTGAGAACCACGAGCCTAGGGGGTCTGAGGAAGAGGGGGAGACAGGGAAAGTGAGTTCTTTTTTCCAGGGGAGTAAGCGACATCCACCCCCCCGCCCCCCCCAGGAAGCAGCCCCACGGTCCCCGGGCAGACTCCCGGGTGCACTCACCGCTGAGCGTGTGAATAGTGGCAGCGGCCCAGCAGGTTGAGCTTGCAGAGGTGCAGGCTGTCGCAGGGTCTCTCGCAGTACTTGCGACGGCAGACGCGGGCTCGGGTGGTGGCCACCACCGACCGAGTGACCCCGGTCTGGCCTACGATCTCCAGCAGCACGAAGCGGTCGGGCCCCGCCGCCTCCAGCAGCTCGCAGAGCTGCGCCTCGGGGGAGCGCGATCTCAGCCAGCAGCCCCTCCAGGGTCATGCGGCCCCCGTGGGCACACAGGATCTTGGTGATGAAGCAGCACACCCCGGGGTCGGCCATGGCGCGCTATGGCTGCCGCTGCTCCGGCCGCAGCGCGGGACGCCGCTCCGCCGAGAATCGAAACTTAACGCGCGGCCCCAGGGGCGGACGCGGGCGGTGCCGTGTGTGTGCGCGGAGCCGAGCGGTTTCGCTTTCCAACTCCCGGCAGTGGCGTCGCGAGGCGGGTCCTGGGGTCAGATTTAAGGTCAGCAGCGCCGGAGACAGAGAGAGAGAGAGAGAGAGCGGGAAGAATGCGACGCGGTGCCGGCGGGCTCTGCGTGCGCGGCGACACCCTGGGTCCCAGGCTGGACGTGAGGCGCCCACAGTTCGGGACAGCGAGGCCGCTACCGGGATGGGAGGGAGGAACGACGTTCGTGGGGCTCGGGTGGGGTTTTGATAAGCCTGAGGCGAGTGACGCATCCTGGGGGGGCCCACTGGAGGCGTCCTCAAGTTTGCCCCACCCAGCGCCGGAAAGAGCTGACCCTGGTGAGCTCTTCCTCCTAGCAGGGCGCTCTGCGGGTGTCGTCAATGCTCGCTACCACTCCGCTAGTAACCAAACTCGCACTTGCGGAAATAACTTGAATGAGCAGGTGGAGCTCCGATGTCACCGAGGTTCTCAAAAACCTGTCCCGGGCATGATCTGCAACCAGGGCTTCGACACACACTTTGTGCGCACCGCGGAGCCCCTCTTAGAGAGCCGTGATTGGGACTCCCAAGCTATTTGAAGACCCACTCTTTATCCCTTTCTGGCCTTCCTAACTAAAATCGCCAATTTTGGTGCCCTAAACCAACGGCGTAAGCAATCCGGTGACAGTAGGAAGCCACATCGGGCATGCACAGAATATCCCCCAAAAGTCCTCTTCTACCGCTTGGAATGAAGATGATTTTTAAGGTAAACCCTTTAAGATATTGTAGAGGTAGAAAGAAATATTAGCTAGATTTCTTTTGAGGAAAGCCAAGGCAGACGAAATTAAAAAGCCATCCACATCCCCCAGGGAGCTTCTAGAAGATTCAGCTGCTCCAGGCCGGGCCATTAGCATAAAAAGAACACCTCAATATATCCTTCCAGAGTCTCCTATTGAAACACAAAAACCTGTCTGCTCTTCAGTCCCCTCCCTTGTTGAGACTAGTATCTTTTATTTAGGACAATTGTCTATGCTAGTTGATTCATCTATATTCTCAGCTAATTTGCAGGCCGCCAAACCCTAGACCCAAATTAGAAAGGAAAAAGGGTTTTCCCTTCAGCTCTCCGAAATGAAATGAATGGATAAGGTCGCTGATCAGATAGGAAATAAATGTGTTTTTTTTTTTTTTTTAAGTTCTGCAGACACGGTGCAGGAGCCATGTGAGCCTGAGATGTTTTGAACTCCACAAGACGGCATGGGTGGCTACACACACACACACACACACACACACACACACACACACACACACACTAATAATAGCTTGGTGTAGTGATTGCACACCTGTATACCTGTAACAGAAGCACTTGGAGAGTGAGACAGGGATTATAGGCAGGGAAGATAGTTCTGCATGTAAAGGCACTGTTGCGAAAATTTGGTCCCCTGAACCCATCCCCATGCTGGGGAGTTTGCTCCTGCAAGTGGCCCTCTGACCCCCACCTTTCCCTCTCTCCCACCCACCACGAATAAATGTAATTTAAAATAAAAAACAAATCAGTAAGAAGATTCTTCAAATGCTGCAGACACTTGAATGAGAATCGCTCTGGGTGTGGCTATTCACAGGGGTCCATTCCAACTCCCTGGAGCCCAGTTCTTTGGTATGAAAAGAAGCCAAGCCTGGGACCCTCTGGCTACTTGTAGACTCTGGCTTTTTGCTTCTGGAGTTTTTTAATCCACTTGGCCTTATTTTCTGACAGGTGTCCAGAGACCCGTTCTTACCAAATCAAGTAAGATGTGTGTATTCACTGACTGTCTTCCGTGTGGGCCTTACATTAGTGACTCTAAAGACATAGAAATCACAGAAAAAAAATCTGCTCTCAGCTTTTAAAACAGGAGTCCCATCCCTATAGGCACTGAGAGCAGACGTCATGAAGAACCCAAAACTTGTCAAGTCACTCTTCCTGTGAAGGGCTGAGGAACTGGGCAAAGGGAATATTAAAGATAAGTCTTTTCTATCAAATAATGTAAAATTGTGCTCAGGACAAGAAATTTAAATTTCTTTTATCACCCCCACTGTTGTGATAAAGCCTGAAGGGAACCTTGGTGGATTCCGTGGCAGGCGAGGGTGACTGAGGCAGAGGGACAAACATGCCAGGCAGACAGCTTAGTGAGTTTTATTAGAAGGGGGGAGGAAAGAGAAACGAGGTAAAGAGACACAGACACAGAGGACAGAAGAGAAGGGGGAGACAGGGAAAGTCCTGTCTGCCCCAGGGGAACAGCGAGAAAGAGATCGGGAAAAGACATATTAAGTGAGCAGGGTCTTTCTTTTAAAGGGGTTCTTTGCACCTGCTTGCAGACTATGCAACCATGGAACCCTGGGCTGACCAGGGGACCGCCTGAGTGCATTCTGCCAGGTGACAGGGGCAGGCCAGCACAATGCCTGAGTCCTTACATCCACCTTGTTTGTTTGTTTTTTTTTTTTTTTTTTTTTTTTTTTTTTTGGTTTTTCGAGACAGGGTTTCTCTGTGGCTTTGGAGGTTGTCCTGGAACTCGCTTGGTAGTCCAGGCTGGTCTTGAACTCACAGAGATCCACCTGCCTCTGCCTCCCGAGTGCTGGGATTAAAGGCGTGTGCCACCAACGCCCGGCTACATCCACCTTGTAAGAAGGACTTTTATGAAAATATTTCTTTCAAAAACAAAAACACCCGACCCAACATAAAACCTTTATTTGCACAGAGGCCCTGCTGCATTCGTGGAACTTAAGTGACGGAAGCAGAAAACCCCTTCCTCCCAAGACTACATAACCACAGAAGACTGTGAGGTAGGACCCAAGTGTGGGGGTTGAAGGGGACAGGATGACCCAATCACCATCTGAGTTAGAATAAAACCCGAATGCCCAGGCTGGTGGCACACACTTTCAATCCCAACACTCACTCCGTCGGCAGAAGCAAGCTGATCTCTGAGTTGGAGGCCAGACTTGTCTACAAAAAGGGTCCTAGGACAGCCAGGGCTACCTAGACTGTCTCAAGGGAGGCGGAGGAGGGGGGGGGAGGAGGAGGAGGTGGTGGAGGAGGAGGGGAGAGGAGGAGAGAGGAGGAGGAGAGAGGAGGAGGAGGAGAGAACCAAGTCCTCCACTTCCTATCTGTGTGTTAGTCACCCTCCTTGATCACGGTAAAGTTTGTCTTGTACAGACACTTCACCTGGAGTAGTATTCTCTTTCTTTGAGACCCCGGAACATATTCCTAACAGGAACGTGTGCTAGGACTGTGAAGTCTTACTGGCTCACCCCTTCGCTCTCAGAAATGGCTAATCCCAGTAAGGATTACCTCAGTCATGAGGGCTGGAGAGATGGCTCAGCAGTTAAGAGCATTTGCTGCTCTTGTCGAGGATCTCGGTTTGCTTCCCAGCACCCTTAGGGTGGCTCACAACCTCGCCATCTTCTGGCCTCCACGAGCAATACACCAGACAAACACACATAAAATAAAAATAAATTTTAAAAATATATGACTGAACTCTCCATCCCGTGCCCACCATAAGAGTCATAAGAGACCCCACTGTGCTCCCCCAAGGAGCCTCCCCGTCTCTCCTGGAATGCCTTCACATTTTTCCTTAATAAAACTCTTTGACTCATTGCTATCTGAATTTCCTTATTCTTCTTGAGCATAAGATAACAAACTTAGAAACCTCTGGGTGGCTTTCATGACCATTGGATTTCAGACATCCTAGTTCCCCAGTCCCACAGGGTTAAGCCACCCACAGCCTAGAAAGCTGTAGCAACAAAGAACCCACATCAAGGCATTCAGTGGCTCTTCCCCAAAGAGATTAAGGAGATTAAGGAACAAAGAGTCCTGGCTGGGGAGATAGCTCAGCAGTTAAGAGAGACCAGAGTGATTCCCAGCTCTCACGTGGCAAAGAGTCACAAAAACACACATAAGGAAAGTAGGTCTTTTTTAAAAGGTTTCTTAGCCTGGCGGTGATGACGCAGGCCTTTAATCCCAGCACTTGACCAGCCTGGTCTACAGAGTGAGTTCCAGGGACAGACTCCAAAGCTACACAGAGAAACCCTGCCTCGAAAAACCGATAAATAAGATTGCTGGGCAGTGGTACTGCACACCTTTAATCCCAGCACTTGGGAGGCAGAGGCAGTCGGATCTCTGTGAGTCCCTAGACCTGTGGTCTTCAAGAGCTAGTTCCAGGACAGGCTCCAAAGCTACACAGAGAAACCCTGTCTCCGGAATAAAAAGAAAGAAAGAAAAAAAAAACCTGCTTTGAAAAACAAATAAATAAATAGATTTCTTTGTTAAGGACAAAAGCCCAGCTGGATGAGAGTGCCTAGAAATACAGATAACAATTCCCCTCCATTCAAATCCTGAAAAACTGTTAATGCTGGGGATGCCGCTCACATGACTTGTCTAGTACGTAAGAGTCCTGAGCATCTCCACTTCAGCAAAGAAAGGAAGGAAAGAAGGAAGGATACATAATTAAAAGAACACTCTAAATTGTGGAAAGGAAGGACAAGGTTTTTTGTTTGTTTGTTTTAATAGGGTCTTACTATTTGTAGCATTGACTAACCTGGAACTCCCCATGTAGACCAGGCTGGCCTCAAAGTCACAGAGTTCTGCCTCGGCCTCCTGAGTGCTGGGATTAAAGGTGTGAGCCACCACGCCAGGCTTCATTTAGGGCATTTTGAAATAATAACATGCACTGTTACACTTGAGTTTCTTGGTGGGGAGCTAACGAGGGGCCAGATAGAGGGAGATACTTCTTTTCCAAGTGGTTGGCGGGAATAGGGCAGCGTGCTAGAAATAAAATGCCTTTCCAGCGAGAAGTCACTGCTCTCTCTTAGGAAATGCTCTTTAGTAGTGTTGGTCTGACTGGGGCAATGCCCAAGGAAAAGAAGGCCTTGAATAGAAGGGGTTGCTAATTTACATACGCTTTATTCATATTCATTTTCTTGCACCTTCATCCTTACATCTCTTTTGTCCCTGCTACTGGTTACACTTTGAACAATATAAACAGAGAGGAGACTGTAGGTCTGGTTGCTTAGGCAAATAGGAAATTTGCATAGCAAAGCTGTTGCCAGTTATTTCTTAAGTGCACCTGTGATGTTTCCTTCAAAGAGTTGTCACCCAGGGTCATCATGCCCACCTGCCTATTAAGAACACAGGGGACTTAAAGGAAACTAGACGTAATGATGCCTCCCTCGGGGCTATCTTCTTTGTTATGGGGATGTAGCCTAAAGGATAGTAAACAAATTGTGGGAAATAAACATTTACTTTTTTTTTTTTTTTTTTTTGGTTTTTTGAGACAGGGTTTTTCTGTGGCTTTGGAGGATG